TGAAGTTCAAGAAAATTTGTAAAATAATTATTTTTAGATAGCTTCCATGCACACAGGCAGTGTCCAAGTGTTTGATTTTATCTTGGAGACGTTCATGTTCATGGAATAGTAAATTGCGTTTATAGATTTGGAGAATTGTAGTTATTTATACTCTATTTCTTCAGTGTACGAACTCGACAAATTTTTTTTATTTCGAGGGACGTTTATAGGATGTACGTTAAGCAATTGTGTAAGCCTCGCGATCAATACCTTTACAAATCGTCAAAACTTCATTAAACTGTAAGAATTAAATTCAATAATGGTTCAATTAGATCAATTCCTTTCCAAATGATTCAACTGTATTTACAATATTTTTAACTGTAAACGAGCGCAAATTGATATAGTTTCTTAAATTTCCTTTTGTGGAACTTATTAAAAACAATTCAGAGGTTTTATTAAGAAATTTTATGTTAATGTTCAATCGTTTCTGTTGTAGGAGATTCCTGGGCTTACAGACAAGAATCTTCCACGTCGTCTGGGTCCCAAGAGAGCTGGACGTATCCGCAAGCTCTTCAATCTCACGAAGGAAGATGATCTTCGTGAATTCGTTGTAAAACGACCAATCCAGAAGGAGGGAAAGAAGGAACGCTTCAAGGCGCCCAAGATCCAGCGTCTCATCACTCCCATTACACTCCAGGTAATTAAAACAATTCCACATCATCATCCGCTTGTTTAAATAAATCATTTCAATTAAAAATTCTTAATTACTGACTAAATCCACTAATCCGATAAATAAAACAATATCTAAATAATTGGATCGATACTTGAACTTGTCTCATATGTCTTTTTCAAATTATCAAAACAAAGATATCCAATAAATAAATGAAAAATGCCCTTCAACTCTAATGTACATTTAATCATGAATAACAGCACGATAATGTAATAATTATTAGTCAAATCGCCAGTCTGAAAGTCAATAATGTTGATAATACTAAATCCTAACAAATTGTCAGTTACATGAATTTATGGATTTACTAATACAGCAATTTTAATCGAATAGATATGATTTATTGATTTCTTTTTTTCTGTTTATTTCTTTGAATCAAATGAAACGTATGTCGTGTTCATGATTTTATCCGGGTTGTAATGAATGTTTTAATAATTTTTTTCCAGCGCAAGAGACACAGAATAGCCCTGAAGAAGAGGCGTTGCCTTGCCCGTAAGGAGCAGGCCGCCGAGTACGCAAAACTCCTCGCCCAGAGGCAGAAGGAAGCTAAAGTCAGACGTGCTGAAGAAGTAAAACGAAAGCGCAGTGCATCCATGCGCGACTCGAAATCCTCCAACCAGTCAGCACCTCACGCAAAATAAACAACCTGCGAAAATGTATTAAAAACAATAATAACGCTCGTACGTTGATAAACAATTGTTCTTTTTATTCTCCGATGATTCAACATCAATTCAAAAGAATATTAATTTATTTATTTCCTTTATTTTTATTTTTTTTTTCACTGATATAAATAGTTTAATCATTTCTTTTTCATGTCTCAGACTCAGTGGAACTGAGAGTTTTAATTAGACAACACGGATTGCTGGGGAAACCATGAAATGAAGAATAATTTTGCATAAATTAATCCTCATTTTTAAACATTTCGTACCCAATGAATTTAAAGACAAAATTCCTCTTTAAATCACCCGGAGGGCTGATAAATAACAATTAAGGAGTAATTTTTATTATGAATCATTGTATAAAAAAAAAAGATGAGATTTTTTGAATATCTTTGATGTGATGACTTAGCTTCATTAAATTTTTATAAATTTGCTTTTCATAATGAAGTCGCCGAAAAATTACTAGAAATTACTCTTCCTACAGTTTTCTGTCTATAAATTATTCATTTAAATTTTCTGATATAAATTATTCATTTGCCCCCACCTCCTAATCTGTGAGATCAATCCTGATGAGAAAGGACTTAAAAAATTTACGAGATATTTCTACAGGAAAATTTATAATTAAAACTATCGTAATTAAATCAAATTCGATTTTCTTTTTTTTTTATTCAACTTAATTCAATTCACCTGACAAAAATCGATTTGAAAGTTGCAAAATCTCACATAATCTGCGAACAACTAATAGAACATTTTAACAGATGATAATTTAAAAACAGAATTTTCTACCGAATGCACTAGGTTTTATTATAAACTTTTTAGTTGAAAAATGAAAGTCGCTTTACTCCCCGATAATTTCACCCGCCTACAACTGTCAAAATCAGGTTCAGTAAACCATGTGAACCCCTAAAATACGTTAATCCTCAAAAAATGTGTTCATCCTGGCTGCCCTCAGCCTCACGGTCTCAAGAGTCTCCATTCGAAATAACTTCGATTCTCCACTCGCTAGCCCAAAATCGTTCACGTCTCCCAGGTCCTCTGACATTCAGAGACGAAGCTGGTGCTGGGAGAAGTCTCTCCAACATAGTCAGTCGTCTGAGCAACTCCATTGATCGAGATTCAACCCAGAGAGCCGAGAAGAGCAGTCTCTCAAAATCCAAAAACGTCACAGAGAGCCTGAGTGAAAACTCTCGAACGGAATCCGCTGTAAATGCAACATCTGTCTCATCATCCCTTGGACGACGTGAGAGAGTCGACTTGCTGATTTCCCAAGCCCTCTGGAACTCCGATCCTCACGTAACAGAATTCCCCTCGAAGAATCAGTTATCTGGAATCAAACGAGCAGATTTGACTGCTGAATCTCTCGAGACATTCCGAAGACTTGGATCAGTAAGATCTTTTACTCCTAATCCTGAAAATTCTTTTCAATCATCAACTTCAAGATCAAACACATCTCAACCCCCAAAAAATCAAAATCAAGGTGAAGAATTACTGAATAATTCCAGGATCTTCAGCAGGAGGAATTTTTTCCTGAGTAATCATTATCCAGTGAATTCTGGAGAGCGTCGAGGCCTCGAGGAAGTTCCACGGTTTTTGGAAAATACTCCAACAGAGAAAACAAGAAAACTCTTTAAAAAATCTGATGCTGCGTTTTCCAACAGTAATTCAACAGCTGAGAGAGCACATGCCGGAGGAATTGTTAATTTTCGTCGGAATGATGCTAGCAGAAAAAGTAATGACCAGAAATTTGAAAGAAGAAATAGAATTCAAATTCATAAACGAGTCCAGTCCAGAGTGAAGGGCAGAAGACTCAGAGTTACATCTTCCTCGAATTTTTTTAATGGACACGAAAACAAATTGAAAGTTGAACCACCGACTTCAGCTACTGGACTAATCCACAAAGGAACTAGAAATGATGAACCGGCCCCAGAAGATAAACCTGAAGAGCGTGAGATCATTGTAGATGAGAAAATCCCTGAGAGACCTGAGAAGACACCAGTAAATTTGATAAATTCCACGGAAACATTCGCGATAAAATCGCGAGAGGAGATTGCCGATCCTGGGCCCCAGAGTTTATCGAAGTTAGATAAAATCAGAAGTAAATTCGCGTCAAGATTATTTATCCAGAGACAGGCGACTGCCAAGCCCTCGAA